TCATGTCTGTCTTAGAGCAGAACTGTTCCTGTGCTGCACACACAAACACACCTCTTCTTATATTTCACCCATGAAAACAAAACCTAGAGCTGAACTGCTGAGCAAAATCACTGAATGGATGTTTTCCTTGGAAACACGGAGCTTTGAGGGGATCATTTGTAAAACTCAAGGAACAGCTCAGTTTGATGAAATGGCTCTCTTGCTTCTCCATGTCCAAATGCTTCCTTTCCTGTGATTCTCAATACCTGACCGCAGAAAAAGGCTAGTAGCTAAAAGGTTATTTTACCCTAATTCATGTGCAGTAAAATGTATTTTCCAATTAACCAAATTTGCCGATTTGTCCCGCTTGGACACTCTTATAATTTATAATGTAAAAGTGTTCTTTCTTTATCTAAAGACCAAGGTGACTGCTTTTAATTTTCTGTAACCTCTTTACACTTGATGTTCACCAGACTCATAATGTTAATTGGCTTCATATACGGATCATCAGTTTAATGAAGGAATAAATCCTATGTTGCTTTATGTCCCTCTGTTTTAACAATGATTGCTTTAATGAAGAATGTGACGTGTTTGAAATCAAAGCTGCAGGAGACATTAGAGGGTTTTTTTTTTAATGATGACTGAATTGCTTATTTAAAGCTAAAACCATGATGTTTTCATAGTTCAAAAGCTTTTCTTTAAATAATTTTCCAGGGAAAATACTGACACATTCTTCATCAGAGAACTCTTTCTTTGTAATTATGGGCAGGGACTGAGAATAGCATAGTCCTGTAAGATAAACACCCCAATTATGTTATGAAATGATCTCTAAGCTTTTATATCACTGCAGTTTTCAGTCAGAGTTTAAGTAAGACTCCCAGTGAGTTATAAGGAGTTATGTCAGCCTAAATAAGGAGCATTTGGGGGTAATTAATAAACCTCTTTGTCAACTTACTGTATTTCCACTGTTCATGAGTAGATGAAGAAATTTACAGGGGATAAACGATTGACAGTTCATACACAAAAGCTCTGGATTGCTGTAGTCTATTTTTACCCACGGAAATTGTAGGATTTCAGGAGCTAGGGTAAAATGTAATGAAATACGGACTCATAGAGGTAAGGTGACTGCAAATCAGAGCGTCAATTAGGTCAAGCTGGAAGGCAGCAATTAGACCCAACTGCATGTGCTAGTTACACAGCTACAACAGGTTTAACATGTACAAAGAAAATGAATCCTGGTAATTGAACTTCTACATTCCTGATCCCATTTATAGTAAGCCTTCCTTCTCTTCCTTCCTCTGCCTTTAATGGAGACTTCATATACTGGTATGCATAGTGGTATATATTTTCTTCTTGTTTGAGAGCTGTTGTTGACAGAAATGACATGACCGTTGAATAAAGGAACATGCAACATCACATAGGAAAGTCCCTAATCAGAGCCGAGACAACGGCTAAGCAATCAATTAAATTGGATAGAAATTTAATGACATGGCAAAGGAAGTGCATGAGACAGAAAGGGATATTAGCTTAAATTTCATACCACCAAGAAGTCATTCAGTATGCCAGGCCTGATCCCATGATTTCTTGTCTTGTTTATGTCCTGGCAAGTGTTGTACTCATTCAATCCAGGTCGCAAAAAGCTTCATGTAGGTACACACAGACCTTCACCACCACCCTCCATATGATTCTCTTAGTGCCATGTTTCCCTTCAGAGCTGGCCAGGACCCTGTGAACACCCTACGAGCAGTCCATAATTCACTCTTGCCTTCCCTTTCGATGGAAAACAAGAAGGTACCTTGTAGTAACTCTGGTGGCACACAATATTAGTCTGCCAGACTTCCTCAGTACCTGCCACTCTCTGCCTGGAGCTGCGCCTTTACCAAACCTACACTTAGCACATGCAGGGCCTATGCCAGGATGAAGCAAAACAACACTGGTTCTCAGGGGGATTATCTGGGTTTTTAGTGAAGATATCATAAAAAGATGCCATACAAAGGTGCTCCTTCCCAGATAAAACAAATTTAACCAAGAGTTGTGAATAAAGACTTCCAAGGGAAGTCTTAGATTCCATGGCTTTTGAGGACACAGTTGCTTGGCCACAAACACTGGCTCAGCACATTTAGCAGAGAATATGATGCAGATGAAGTGTTGATTACAATGTGGATCACAGTAGAAAGCCTACACAGATTTTTAAATACACACACCAGTTTTGTGCTGCCTGACAATACCATGTACCCTGATGGTTAATTAAGCAAAATTTCTGTGAACAGATCTGAATCTGCATACTGGGCTTTATGCAATAATGCCACTTTGTATCACAAGGCCTGAATTTACAGCATCCCCAAATCATGGTTTCAGTTAAAGTTTAGTCACTACTCAGTATCAGGTCATTTTCTCAGGGAAAATCTGCAACTTTTGTTTCCCACAATAAGGCAGACCATGGTCTAGCTCTGAATAAGGGCAGTTAGTATATGCAAGAATCTAAAGCTGCACACATTCTGTTACAAGGAAAGTTAGCAGTCCCCCTTATTCTGAGAATGGCTTCTAGCTATAAACCCTATAGGAAGAAATAAAACATTTTACTAGCTGCTTTAATGCACAATTGTCTCATTCACCAAAGGTAAGGCAAATTCACACCTACTAACTACTCTCCTTGGAGGTGAGCCGCACTCCAGGCCAGCAGAGAAGTGGCCCAGGTGTGACATACTTTTGCACAAAGCCATTGAAATGCACCCTCTGGATGTGGCAATGTTTTCACATTAGCCCAAGCACTCCATCCCTGTTCTGGGTATACTGCACCATCCTTTGGGATGAACCAGGAGTGAAGCTGCCTCCGACCATGAATGCATGTGCGCGTGGGTGTACATAAGAATGAACCCACACATATAAACGCATTTGCGTGTGCAATCTGAAAGGGACTGATGATAGTCTGGAGGGTATGGTATCTATGGGAAAGCCCTAGAATTTACCATAGACACCCAGTCACTCCTCTTTCCCAGAACAAGCTCCAGGACTATGAATAAATACTATCCTCCTTGGATCTTTCAAATAATTGCCCCTTTTCCTACACCAAGAACAGGAACTATAGTAATTACCCTTGGCAGTCTGGAGGAAACACCGAGCATTCCTAGAATATTGCCTCATACCAAACAGCATTTTCAAGCCTGCAGAGTGGATAGAAGAGATCTTACAACACAGCTGTGCTCCAGCTTCCTCAGGGCAGGCACACAGAAGTTTTCTCTTCCTCCCCAGCTCACCCCACCCCCGTCCCCACCCTCCCAAAAAAAGGAAACCACCTCAGATCAATTTACCCAAGCCCATCCCTTCTGCCTTACCTGTTCCTGCCTTACCCCCAGCATATCCTTTCTCCTGCTCCAGTGCCAAGAAGCACCTGCCCATCATCTATACCTTGTGAAAGGAGCACCACAGAAATCCCTTAAAACAAATATTTCTACAAACAGGAGACCACTCTAGTGAATTTGTGCTCTTTATGTTTGGCTGTCTCCCACAGCATGCTCAGACCCCACTGCAGTGTTGTCAGGACAAGGCTTAGTGCTCTCCCCACCTTAAGGAGCAGAGTGTGACTGCACATACCTCACATGCCTGGACCACTTTAGTTCCAAACTCGTACCTAATGCTTTGTCATGGGGCTGAGCATAACCCATCAGCTCTACCATGAGTAGGATTTTCTTCTTATTTTGTAATTTTTACATGTTTCAATTAACAAATAAGAAGAAAATCCACTTTTATTCTAAAGGAAAAAAAAAAAAAAGGCAACAAAAATAAAGAGCCTACTTGTGCTTAATTGTTATTCTAATTACAAGTTGTGGTGTAGTGTAAATTTTTTCCCTTGGCATTATTATGAACCTCATTTCCTTACAAAGTCCAGGATAAACAATTCCAATATATTTTGTTTTAATTATCAGGGTTTAATGGGGCATAATAAGACTAAGTTGAGTGGTGCAGAAAAAAAATAATTTAATGTATGCAAAACTACCTAGTGCTCCTAGCTTGCCTGTGCATATTTCACCTATTGTAGGGCAGCACTATGTTAGCTAATATTCAGTGTGCCCATCATTTATTTATTAATCATACTTGCTTTTCAGTAGATTTTTTTTTTCCTGGCCTCTGAAACAAGAAGAAACACATTAAGATATCCTAGAAAAACAATGGGCAGTTCTCTGGGTTGAGCAGTGAAGGATGAAGCTGATATACAGCTGATGGTGCTGGAAGCATTTGTCATGCATGGACAGAGGATGCAATGCTGGACACAGATCCTGCCTCTGACAATCCACTCCAAATGCTGCCAGTAAAAACTTTTGGCTTCAGTTCTTAGGGCCTCTGCCACAAGCAAAGATAAGTATCAGCTGAAGTCACCATTCAGAAACAACCTCGTCCAGAGTGTCACTGTAGATGCATCTTTCCACTCCCAAGGTGTGTTCCTACAGCATTAAAACACTGCAGGTACTTCTGCAGTGAAAAGGGAAAAGTGCATAAGAGCAGCCTGGCAAATATAACAGTTAAAGGGAGATCCTTTATGGCCCTCTATGCTTCCCAAGGTCCCTTTGGCAATGGCACTGAATCCCGTGGCTGGGTGTGGCTGATGAAGCAGTTAGAACCACCCTGCTCCCGGATTTACATCACTTTACCAGGGCAACCATATATCAAGATCAAAACGCTTTCACTTGAGGAATAACTACTGGATCGTCCCTGAAGGGAAACATGCCTGTTCTCCTTATGTTCTACTCCTTCACACAGAGGACTTGAAACAGTACCCACCGAAGCCACTGGGAATGTCCTCTCCTCTGGAAAATTATTTGATTCATGACTCTAGGAAAGGTTCAAATACAACACACAAACCATACCAATGTAAATTTACATTTATTTTAAAATTAGCATTTTATATTACAGATTAATTTAATATACCCCAAGTGTTTGGGTTTTAAATAAAATAAATTTATTATAGACATCAGTATTTACAGAAAGAAAAACAATGCTTTTTTTTTTTTTTTTTTTTAAGTCTCATTGGAGTAAAAAAAATCTCCATGAAGATTCTGGCCTTGGGAGATGCCACATTCTGTGAGAGGTCAGCCTGCTTCAAGGGTTAATTGAGACAAGAAACCAACCAGGCTTAAGATACACCTCAGTGAATTGACTGAGGAATGGCAATGGGCTGGTTACCTGCGTGAAATTGTAGCAAGATTGAAAGACTTCAAGGGGCCCCATCAAAGCCTGTGTCCTCCTATTCTTCAAAGAAGGGAAGGGAATCAGCAATTACATTGTAGTAAAACTCACCTCAGACACCAGACCGGGCCAGTATCTAGCACTCTGATGGGCCTCCAAAGCTTCACAGTTTTTTCTTTCTTCTTGCTAAACCACGAAGATTCTGACCCAAGCTTAGGATCCCACAGTACAGCAAATACACAAAGGCAATCTCTGGTGCCACACACCCTGACAGCCATTAAAGAGACAGGCACTGGCCTCACCATACAGAGTTACAGCCCTGACTTAGAAGCCAAATACGCTGATTCCCAGACAAATACTGACCTATGGCCTCCTTCAGACTGGCTAGCAAGTCCCATGGGGACTTATGAGGAGTTCTCTGCATTTGGTAGAGCTGCATAAAACTCAGGAGAAGTCCGTTTCCTGGTAATGCATGATCTACAAGTGGTAGAAACCTCTGAAATTAGCTCTGGGCAAATACTTACCCTGAAAGCTCAAAGTAAGACTGCACATCCCCACTGGATCATGCAGCCAAAACTGATTAAGGCTGTGCTACTGACACCTGCATCCCATCCTGGATTGAGGCAGGACGCCATGCCTGTTAAATCACTAGAAATTCTGAGCCCTCGTATACAGGACAAGACCTTAATTTGAACAGTCAACTTAATGTGTTTCAACTCCTTCATATAGCAAGTTCCTGATTTTAATAGTTTCCTTGGTGTACAGGCACTCAAAGAGCTCTCCATGGAGATCTTGAGGTTGGCAGTGCCTCACAAGCCAGCTACCTTTCCACAGCCATGGTGAGAGGAGAAGGATTTGAAGCACAGACCAGTTTCTGTCTCTCCTGCCCTGTAAAGTAAAATTCCATCTCCTTTGGTATCTTCAGTAGCAAATGGGGAGCTGAATCCAGGTGCACACCAAGTGCAGAGAAAAAAAAATCTTGCTAATGACAACCACACCTTGTTGCCACCATGTCTTCATAATTTTTAAGGATGACATTCTGTTTGTCATCAAAGTAGAGAAGACTGAGGGACTTCAATTCATCTGGCACACAGCAGGGCATGCTGACATCTTGAGACAATTTCAGTGTATAAACAATGGACTGAACTGTAGCATGGTTTGTTGCATTTAGACTTTCCCCCAAAGGGAAGATGCAGGATCCTCTGCAGTAAAATGCATTGTATCCACTTGGGTAAATGATCCACCCTGACCAGCCAATAGCATGGAAGTCTACATAGAGCTCCCTTCGGTGGCATGTTGCTAATGGGCTTCCAGCAGCGGCTGCGGCGGCTCGGGGTCTCCTGCTCCTGCTGGCACTGCTGCTTTCCATGACAGCAGTGTCATGAGAAACACGTGAGGCATCAGATTTGGCAGGCGTTGTTTCTGATTCTGAAAGGAAGCTGTATGTTAATATTTCATAAAGTTTATTTACAAAGTACAGTATTCTGCATCTAATCTGTAAATCTACATCGAAGATTTCAGAGATTTTAAAACAGCACCTAACCTATGAATATACCAAAAAGTGTGTGTATTCAATTGCCTTTTCAGTCCTACTTCCAAATCTTGTGTCCTGGAAAAGCCCCAGTTCAGCAGAAATAGAAAAAACCCCACAATGATCTACCAAATATTCTGAATTCCACAGTTCCTCTTCAGGGCTGAACCTAGTCAGAATGGTATTAACTGTCTTCATACAGCCACTCCTACAACACACATTATTCTGGGCAGCGCTAACAGAGGGTGGAGATCACAAGCCTTTTTCTCTCCAGTATTCTCCCAGGAGCTATACCAATACACTTGCAAAGCAGAATGTGCAGAAACCTGGTAATGTGGAATGTAACACTGTAAAAAACATATTTTTCAAATTGTTGATCCTAAAAGATACCACCACCAGGCTTACAGAACACTGCTAAGGAATGAAGTGTACTGACAATAGGATGCTTTATTAAAGTATCTTCTGAGAAGCCCTGGGATCCATGGAGATACATGTACACAAGCTGGAACTCACTGATATGTAGAACAATCTGTGTGGTCATTGACCACTAACAAACAACGTGCAGGTCTAGAGAGTTCCTTAGTTAACAAATTTCTCAATCCTGACACAGTATCCCGTGCAGAGCTTGATGCTCATTAAACTGGATCTAGGATTTCACTATTAATTTTTATTTGGAAAACAAAAATAAAAAGACCAGCCTAATTTTTAATCTTTATATTTTTAATCAATTTCACCAGCTACTTCTTAATACTGTCCTACCTAACTTCTAATATGCAAATACAACCGTTTACCAGAAAAGCCTGGAAAGCCAGAACAGCACGATTTTTGCCCCTCCTTCAAGCTCTTTGCATTTATCAGGCCCTAAAATCCAGCCTTAGCTGGTTTTACAGTAAGGCCAGTGGGAGAGGTAAGACGCTGTTTTGTATTTTAAGGCACGAGGGGTTGTCTTTGATGAAAGCAGCCTTTAGTCACAATGCTAATTAGTCATTGAAGTTAAATAGGTGCTTAAAAACCAAGGCAAGGACAGGGAAGTTCAAATTGGCTTATTTAACAACCTCTTTCACTCTTAAAATCACACTTAATGACTCTGTTTCCAGATACTTTACCAGAATTTTGAAAAAGCATTCCAGGTCACTGACTTTTCTTCAGTATAAACCTAACATTAAATTTTCATGCAAATTTCACCACCACAAAAATAATATAAGCAGTACTTAAAAAATAGAACTTCCACCCCTTTAAAAACTAAATAAACCAGATTCTCTTTAGGATTAATGAATATTTCTGGCACACAGTTTTTGTGAGGGGAGGGGCAATTTAGGATGCTGGTGACCTACTAGAAAGGACTATCAAATCAAATTTCGATCACTGACAAAGCTGAACTTCAAACCTGTTCAATACTGTAAGTAAATAACTAAGGTTAGGTCTACATGAGGTAGCAGGAGGTGACAGAAGATGAACACACACTTCATATTCTAAAAGAGCACTTACTTGTAGCAGAGGGTACAAAGCTGTGAGACCTCCGTTTGTTACTGTTCGTGAAGAGGACGAGGAGAGCATTTCTGCTCTCCTGCAAAGCACTCTGGCTCTTGGCAAATGTAACCACGTCGTGCTCCATTTCATTGTTGGAAACATGTGTAGCAGTTATCCAAAAGCCATGGTTGGAGCTGCTGTTTCCAACCCACTTGGAAACCTGAAGATAGGGAAAAGAAAAAATGTTTCAGTATTCTCATTAGAGCATTATAATTAAGCAACGTTTATGTTAGGAAAAGAGAATAGGCAACAAGCTATGAGAGCATAAGGACATATATTATAATAGAAGTGAGATAACTATAGCTGAGACTCCATTGACTTGAATATTTAAAACAGTAATTCAACACTTAAAAATACAAAATAGCATATGCATTCCCCAAAGCTACATTTACAGGAAGATCAATTATTTCAGAGAATTTACCAGTGAACACTTGAGTGTAGAAGTTAATATTAAAATAAGCTCTCTCTGACTTTCAGCAGAATTTTTTTTTGTAGTAATCTGAACACAGTAATATTAAGTATCCAGACTTTTCATGCTGTTAAGACTTATGTAAATGTAAAGAACATGGCATTTGAAGAAATTCATAGTCAAGCAAATTTACTTATCTAATTGTTATAATTGCACACTGATCGATTGGGCCAGGTCATTCTCTAGCAGGAATATCATGACTTAACATGGAACTCAACCAATCATCTAAACACGCTGTTCAGTCTGATCATAAAGCATAGGCAACGAAAAACGCTGTCCCAGAGTACCCCTTTAAACCACGTGTGGGTCTTTTGCTACAGAAAGGCATTCACCTGTTACAATTTATGGAGAGCTACAAAACAAATCTTGAAGCTCACAAATACAGAAGTCTATGCGGGAAGTTGAATGATAGGCAATCCAACCACGATAAACTCTGGAAACACAACGTTGAAGCAATACTGCTCTACAGAAATGCTGCCAGAATACAAAGGAGAAATGAAAAGCTACTCTTAGTAGGCAACCAATGCCAATTGCTTTGGCAGTCTAAGGATTAATACAGGTTTTAATCACAACGACCTGATGTCCCTCCATCGACTAGGTTTGGGTTACTCAGTTCTCACCATGCTTGTTATCTTAGCAGCTCATAAACACTTCTTTAATTCAGGTAGCATCAGGTGCACTTATAAGGGTAGAGAGAAAGCTTCTCTGCTGCTGTCCTTCTGTTTGAATTGAATTTGACCTCAAAACCCAGCTTAATGGCTATGCTGGATTTATAAGGTGTCATCTCAAAAGTTTAAGAAAAAAAATTAAGTCAGATTTCTCTGCTTACTGTCTGTGTGACATTGAAGACTTCCCAGCCTTCCGTGTAGAGGGACAATAGTCTTGATGCAATGAGATGTTTTCTATGTGGCTTATTTTCACTCTCCAAGAGCTCATACACTTCCACCTAAATAACAGCAATATACAACAAAAACAAGAAGAAATTCATTTGATTGTTCTTACAGCAAACTAGGAGGATGAAGATTATGCAGGTTTCTGCTACATCACAGCTGTAAACTGTACCGTCATTCTAAAAGGGTTAAAAAGTAGATTTTGGACAGTTCAAGAGAAGAACAGTTATCGCTACATACATCTACTTTTAGATGTGTTCAGAGGCAGGATACCAGATACAGATACTATAGAAAAATATCCTAACCATCCCTATCCCGTTTTGAACACCTGATACCATCAAAGTCTTCTGATCCTCCCCATACTTGTCTTCAGGTCTGCAAAAAGTCCAATCCTGCCCTTTGCCAGAGAAATAGATACACTCAATTTCCTTGCCTGCCCTGTTTTCCCATTAATCCCTGGCTGCCATTACTATTTTTCGGAGCAGCTCCATGAGATAAATTTCAATTCGAATTTTGAAACATCTCAAATGCCATAAAAGTATATTTGGGATTGTTCTGACATTGGTATCTTTAGGGAAAGCTCACCGCCATAACACAAAGGTCAGCGTAAAGCCAAAGTCAAAACTTTGCATTACTTCTTTGCATGCTGGAGGTAAAGAAAAAGTGAGGATGACAAAACAAAAATAACAACAAAGCCGGTTCGTGTGACACGTAGTTGCACTCCTTATTTTCAATATTAGTAACAAAGATAGCAGAATTAAGCGCTTAACTATTTCCCCACTTACTTTGCAGAAGTGCTGCGTGTTGGACCTTCTGGACCGGTGTGACCTCTTAAGCTTGAAGACCCTCAACTCGGCTTTCAGCATCTGCTCGCCCTTCTCCATCGCGCTGACGTCGAAGTGGAAGCGGTGGTGGTCCACGTGAACTGGAAAAGAGCGTTCTTTAGGAGCGGTGCCGGGCCCGGCCCGCCCGCCGCGGGGACGCGCCGCGGGGACGCGCCGCGGGGACGCACCCTGGTAAACGGGGCTCGGCCGCGCCGCCCCGCGCCCACCTCGGTCCTCGAAGCTGCGCACCACGTCGCCCTGCAGCAGCCCCGGGGCGCGGGTGATGCCGTTGGCATCGGCCACCTTGTTGAAGAGATCCACCATGAACTGGGGCGGCTTCTTGCGGGGCAGCACGTCGGGCGGCAGCTCCTCCATGTCGAAGAGCTCCCGCAGGCGCTGCAGGGCCGCGGCCAGCACGGCGTCCCGCGGGTCGGGGCGCAGGGGCAGGGTGCCGGCCGCCCGCAGGCTCAGCAGCCCGGCCAGGCACAGCCACAGGCACGGCGGGCGGGTCGCCATGGACGGCGGCCGTGACCGCGCTGCGTGAGGGGCAGCGGCCCTTGCGCGGGCCCGGCTGGGCGCGGCCAGGCCGGCGGCCGGGCAGGCGCGCAGCCCTGAGGGCCAAAGGCCGCGGGCAGGGGCGGCCGGGCCATCAGCGGCGCTTAAGGACTCAATGGGGCATCCCGAGCGCTCCCGGGCACCGAGCGGCCGCCGCGCCGCCTCGGGGCCTCGGGCTGCCGCGGGAAGCGCAGGTGTCGGCCAAGAGCGCCGCACTTGCGAAACCTCTCTCCTTTCAATCGCCCGTCTCTTTTTTCAGCCGAAATAGGCTACGATTTGGAGATTGCTGAGCCCAGCTGATGTTTCCCGTCGTTGCCGCAGCAATAAAAAGTATATTGGGACTTAGGCGAGAGCTTCTGTACTTCCGTGCCTCCGGAATGCCCGGGATCCCGGCACTTTCCCGTCCCACAGCCCCAGGAATGCCCGGGATCCCCGGCACCTTCCCGTCCCACAGCCCGAGGAATGCCCGGGATCCCGGCACCTTCCCGTCCCACAGGCTGCGGGATCGCCGCTGGTGCGGTCCCGGTGCCGGGCTTGGCCGGGCTGCAGGACGGAGGCTGCAGTTCCCCAGGCTCTAAGTCCGGCCCTACAGCTGCCCGGGGGGTGGAAGCTTTAAGGACAGAGTCCGGGGTTCTACTAGTGCAGTGCAGCAAGAACAGACAGGTTTCGAAGTACCCAGGGACAGGGGCGGGAATATACATTCTAACAAGCTATTTTAAGGCCTAACTATTTCCCAGAGTCAATTAGTTTTCAATAATTTGCCCTTTTTCCCCCCACCCATTAGTTGATGAAGGGGATTCCACACCCCACCCCCCCCCCCCCCCCCCCATTCGCAAGGAGAACCAACCCAAATGAACAACCCCAACCCTACGGATCCTGCATAGTTGTCCTTTTCAAAGTAGTCTGGCCACTTACAGACTAGCAAATAGACCTTCCTGATGGTTCATGCAGCAGTGCCTGTTCTTCTTGTGCCACATTGCGCTGTACTCTCTTTCCAGGCAGGACAGTATTGGGAGGTATTTTGTGGGGCAGATAAAAATGTCTACTGGCACCTCTGCTTAGCCACATGATGTTAGACAGGAGTATTTTCATTGAGCAACCAGATGGATCTATAGCAAAATAAGGCAGGGACAAAGAGGCCACAGCTCCACACAGTCACGAATTTTTGCCCCATGACAACAGTGCTGGATAAAATACTACCCATTCAGCTACCTGCCTGAGAGCTTGGGAAAAGACTAGTAAGACAGGAGAAATCATCACTACACTGTTTTGCAGTCAACCTAAAAAGCTTTGCTTCTACTCCACTGCTTCTTCACATGCTTATCCTCACAAACCCTACCCTGCCCTTGGGTCTCTTCATTTACTCCCAGTATCCTCTCTAGGCATATACCTTCATTTTTACTCTCATGATGCTGCTTCCAGACATTAATGTCTGGGAACACATAGCTAGGGTTCCCAAAGAACCTTAACTCTGCCCTAGAGGCAAAGATTTATGAAAAAAATCCTCTCTGTTTAATATAAGCTGGGACCACAAACAACGAAATGTCTCTATCGTAGTGCAACTGCAGATATTTCAGCCTACAGTTAGCCAAACATAACCCACTGAGTGCTGTGTTCTTTTATTTTCATATTTCTGATTAGGCAAACAACATAATGAAAGCCTCTCTCCCTATTCTTTTGTAAGACTGCATGACTCACCACTTATGTAAGCCTTATGCAGGAGTTGGTCATAGCTCCTCTGATGATTCTTAGTCCTGGTTTGCAATTAGTGCAAAGCTTCAACCTCCCTGTTCTGTACAATAAAAATAGGTTCTCTCAACTTACGTGTTTTGAGTAGTGTGGCTTTTGGGAGCCCAGGAAAAGCTGTGCATCTGTAGGGAACTATGATAGGTAGTTAACTTAAAATTTTAGGTGGATTCTCTGGAGTTCAGCATTGGCACTGCTTTCCCTTCTCTCTCAAATGAGTGGATAAACAGCTTGTTGGGTCTGAAGAGTTCACAATCATCTGGCTCTCAGGTACAGTGTATGGGTAAGAATGGGGGTATTTATTGTTTGGTCTGCCACATGGTCTTTGATGCCATTGTGGAGAATATAGCACAGCAATATTGAAAAAGCATGGTTATTGCATGGTATCATTAGCGGGCAGAGCAAACTTGGGAGCCTTCATTGTACATTTCAGGAACTTTATCAAGTTTGGACTGAAGGGCAAGTCCAACCCTGCTATTCAGAAAGGAAGAGCTCAGGTCAGAACACACCATCCCGTCTCTCATTTGTGTCACATTAGCATGAACAGTAAGACCTGTGGCTAGAGCAGGCTGGAAGCTGCTTCTTAATACAGCTGCCTGACACTTCCTATGTTTCCTGTGCTGGTTCTGTAGTTCCTAATCTAATGACTCACAACAGGTCCATTCTTTCTGGGGAAAAGATTACTTTTCTGCTCTGTGAATGAAACAATGATCCTCTGCAGTCTCCTCTGGGTTTTTCAGGCAGGGAGCAAGAACATGAGGTGTTTCACTCAGTTCCGTAACAGCTTAGGCATATTTAAAAAAAAAGAAAAAAGGGCCCTTGCATGAAAGATGTCAGACTCCTGTTCACTCTTAGTGGTAGGAGAGGTAGCAAAACCACGCTCACCAGAACAAGTTAAGAATTACTAAGGAAAGCTTCATCGTCGAAGTTTCAGCTGAAGGCACAGGACTGTACCACATCAGCAATACTGTGTGAAGGAGGAGTGGTGACATCACCCCAGAGCCTAGAATAGCAATCCCGTGAGGGCTGGGTAGATGGAGAGAGCCACTGAGTTAGTAAGCATTTAGTATATTCAGCATTTAGTCTCAGTGTTGGAACACAGAGTTATAAATGGCCCTAAGTAGCAGAGTGTTTTTACCATGTATCTAATATATAAATAAATACCTCTCCCAGAGGAGATAAACTCCCAAGTGCAGACTCGCCAGCACATCCTGACTCCTAGACAGGTGCCCTATGCAAGCCCTTCAAAAACTGCACTCTCTGCAATTTTCTATGGTAGTTTTGTGTAACTTAAGAGTTGCTGAATTAATGATCTAGACCATAAAATACCATATTATCTGTTTTTCCATCCAGGGCTTCTTTGTACTATGCTATCATTTCTTGAAGCACTTTTGAAGGACCTGAAAGATGTATTGTTTCCCTCTAAAGACTGTATCCATCAGATGGAGAAACCAATGCAGGGATTAGTGTTGCACCCAAACTTACCCAGAGGTTTATAGCAGAAATTCCAGATACTCTTGCTCCTAAAAGACCAAGCAGGTAGATTACTCCACATTTTAAATCAACCTCAGTGACTATATTACCAAATGTAAAACATGGAAACAGGAAAAATTAGGAAGAAATGTAGTAATTTCTTAGCCCATACATTGTAAATATGCCAGATTTGGATAAAATTGCTATAGGGTCTCTTCATATTTGAATTTTTCACCATCTTTATATATCTTTTGAGAAGGCATAGCCACCAGCAGAACAAGAGGCATTACATAATTTTTCCTTGCTGAATCACTGATACAGCTGTTCCACTGTTCATTAACACCTTCCTTCAAGAGAGAAAACTGCTTAAACTGTAATGACTGGAGTTTACATATGAATCACAGCAGTATGCAAAAGGAATTCAAGTTAGTTATTATCCCATCAGTTTTACTTATTCATCTACACAGTTCCTTATTTTATAAATAAAATTATTTTAGAAGAAAAAGAAAATAATAATCAAGTTTGTCCCTGCTGTTAGAGCCTATTGAAAGGCAGAGAATTGCAGCAGTAGAAGACAGCAACATTTAGCTAAGTTTAGCAATCTTGGAATCAAAAGCAAAGCTGACCTTATGACTTGAATACATCTATCTATTGGTGAGTGTCACCTGAAACCAAAACTTGCAGATGTAAAACCCCACTTCTTTATAGCTTTATTTAGGAGGATGACATTTATTATCTGCAACAGCCTCAATTCTCCACATGGTGCAGACCTTTGAGAACAGGCCTGTGGCTGAGCCACAGACAGAAGCTAGACATTTTAAAATACCGTATTTAATTACCATTTCTAATCAATCTATCCATTTAGCAACTTACATTTCTTTTGTGGTGGGTCACTATAGCCCAGAAAAGGCCTACAACCTTTAGCTAAGTCTTTTTCTCTCTATGTCAAAATTTAGTTCTATAACAGAGATGTGTTGGTTGGCTATACATCTTCAGCAAAAGGGTGAATACAGGAGAGTAAACCACTGGAATAATGTAAAAGCCTGGGATGGGAGGACAAGGGAAAACATCTTCATGAGCAAGAAGGTTTTCTTACCTCCCACTTTACAAATATGGTTTGAAACCAGAAGGAACAATTATGATGTTTTAACTTCTGCTGTTAAAGTATCAATTCAGCCTCTTTTACCTAAGCAGTGTACACAGTTCCCACAACTGCTTACCAAGCAATCAAAGTTTCTGCTATTTAGCTTTCTAGATTTTTATTCAACTGCATTTGTCTGCTCAAATGGTAGTCACATCCCACAGCAGCATGATGCTCAGCTTTTAGCATCTTTACAGCAAAGAAATTTTCAGTAGCTCCCTGTGGTATGCTTTTTTAAAATTTAAATGTCATAATGACTGTTCCATGCTGACATGTCTTTCCTTAGTAAGATTTAGTGGTTTTTTTTCCCAGCTTTATTCCTAAATTAACATCTGTATTTTGATTTTTCTTTATGCCCTTTTTTGGCCTAAGGTAAGAAAACAAAATATAAGAACACACACATTCCACATGAGTGATTTTTGGAATCATGCACAGATAAAGTAGCACCTACCAACTACAGCACCGAGACAGCTAAACTGCAAGATTTGTTTGACTATGCAACACTTATGTTAGTGAGAAACTACTTCAGATATTCTGTGAAGATGTGAAAGGAATTCACTTTATACAGGTAAAATTAAACAAAAATCAGATGTTTTATGGAATGAAAATAGAATTTTTCTGAAATACCTCTACCACATTAAAATGCATAGTAGCTATATTATATTCTAGGGAAACTTTTACCTATAAATCAGTAAATCTTCAATCACATATGCTTTTGAGATCAACTACTTACAAATATTTTTTGAGTATTATGTTAGTACTTTTTCGGTCCTTAAAGATTTTCAACAAATGCAAGTACTGGAAAAAAAGCTAGTTAGGATGCATAATTTCAAATTGTATGGATAATGGAAATATAATTAAAAATAATATGAATCATTTGGTTGTATGCACAGCATACAGGAGAAGATGCCTCCCTGCCCACTCTTCCCAGTGCCCAATGACTTCTGGAACAAACTTTTGTTTTTCTTTTTTTTTAATAAGTCCATAAAAGCCAAGAATTTATTAAAAAGTACATGCAAGTCTATTTACATTAACAGATCGAGAAGCTGCAAACTCTCCTTAGTATACAGGAACAATGTTTTTAAAATTGTGAGTTTAAATAATACAAGACACCAAAACTAACAGCTAAGGTGACAACAGCAGCTTTGCTGCCTGCTGAATTCCTGGTTTGTTGCTGGGATAAGTAGAGATGCATGGGAACATGACACCCAAACCAGTCCATATTCCATATAGATCTGAAGGAAACAGAAAATTGGTTTGTTTTTACTCTTTTTCTGACCCACTTCAAGTCAACTTGGGCAGTTGCAGCCCAAGTTCCTTGTTTCACCATTTTTTGAAAGAGGGAATGTAAGTGAATATAAATGGGATCACAGAAAGATGTTAGGAAAAGTCCCATCTTCAAATGCAATT